GGGTAGCAATCAATGATCACATCCATTTTGGTTATCAAGAGATTTCAAAGCCAGAAAATGAAATAAAAGCCCAAATGAAGGGCAATTGAAAGTTTGCTACTGTCATTTAAAACACATACACCAAGAAGATTCACCTGCAGTCAATATCTGGTGAATGTCAGATCTGTTCCCCAGCACAAGATGTATGGGGGTGGGTACATGATCACTGATCTGTTCCCTGGTATAGTGCAAATGGGGTGGGCACAGGATCACTGATCGGTTCCCTGGTATAGGGTGTATTGGGTGGGTACATGGTCACTGATCTTTTCCCTGGTATATTGCATATGGGGTGGGCACAGGATCACTGATGTGTTCCCTGAATAGTGTGTATGGGGTGGGCACAGGATCACTGATCGGTTCCCTGGTATAGGGTGTATTGGGTGGGTACAGGATCACTGATCTGTTCCCTGGTATAGGGTGTATTAGGTGGGTACAGGTTAACTGACCTGTTCCCTGGTATAAGGTGTATTGGGTGGGTACAGGATCACTGATCTGTTCCCTGGTATAGGGTGTATTAGGTGGGTAGTGGTACAGGATAACTGATCTGTCCCCTGGTATAAGGTGTATTAGGTGGGTATAGGATAACTGATCTGTTCCCTGGTATAGGGTGGGTATAGGATCACTGATCTATTCCCTAGTATATTGTGTATGGGGTGGACACATGGTCAATGATCCCATATACAGGGGGAGACTCGGTTACAGTACATGGGTCTTACTTGATTCGGAGGGCAGTGGTGGAATTTCCAGTGTGTGCTCTCAGGCAGGCCAGGAAGAGGATTCTCATAGCTGTCAGTGAGTTCCGTACTGTTACTGTCCCCTGTCAGGGTGCCACGTCTCTCCTGATGTCCACAGCTGTGACATCTCCACTGTACACATGGGTGGAGAAGGGGGAGGGGGGACACTACACACCGATCACACACCTCTGTCTGCTCACAGACCTGATGCGTCCCCGAAAAGTCTTTCCCCAGAAACCGTAGTGGGCTACTAAGGTTCCTAGCAGCTCCCATAATGACATAATGACACAGGCTGACTGTTCATTCTCACTAGGGCTGGGGTGTTTTGGATGATCAGAGCACACTGACGTGTGGGATCATTTTATAGGTATGGATCTAGCATACAGTTATTTAAAGTGTACAGCTACAGATAAATATTGGACAACAAAATGGTCAGAATTATAATGAAGCAACCAGTAGTGAGAACACAAAGTAAGTAAAGCAAGTCCCTGGAAATTGGTCCAAAGAACTGTTTTCTATTGAAGATGATCTGAATCCCGCTGGGAGCTTAGTTTGTAAATGTATGTTGTCCCAATTCATATTTCACATGATAAAAAGGCATACTATTGGTTTCAACCGCTTCTAAAGTCAGAAACAGTCTACTCCTCCGTGCCACCCAAGACAACCAAAGACATGCCAGGCTCTTAAGATGTCCCACCCTCATACATTAGGCAATTATGTGGCATTTTCAATCACTTTCAACCAGCTTTTGGCTCTGCCTCTAGATAGGCAGAGCCAGATGTCAGTCATGCAGCTGGGTGGATCCCGGGACAATTGTCGGGATCCGCTTCAGCTGCGGCTTCTCAGTATACCGCGAGCAGCAGCTTGCGGTATACCGTACTGAGCTTAGGGGGACGCTAGTTTGTGTGCTCCCGTTACCCTAAGGAGAACTATGGGGAAAAGCCTTAACCCCATAGTTCTCCTTTAAGCACAAAAACGACCAAAGACAACCTACTGTCAACAGATCAAACCATGAAATGGTGTAACAACCAGCAGGTGGTATAGGCTCACGGCTGATCATTACAACAGTGTAATTTGCTAAAAAAAATTGCAGTAACCCCAGCACTGTAAGAGTAAAATGCTAGTTTTTGTCTAGGTGCAAAAAAAAAAAAAAGTTATACTCACCAGACCATCTGAGGAGACTCCCTGCTTCAGTAATCACTGAAGCATGTCTCCTCCTATGCTTCATTGATGGAGTGCTCCTCAGCGTCCTCACATATATACACAGTTTATGCACAGTGTATAGAACGTGATGAAACCAGGGAGTGAGACGCTGAAGACAGCGGTCTAAGGACAAGCCGACTGGTCTGGTGAGTAACTTTTTTTTTTTTTTAGTTTTTATTTGTGCATCATTCTCTCAATTCATTCTGACACTGTCCTTCCCTCTGGGGGGTGGCTATGTTTGTTCCCCATGGTTCCTGTGTGTGTTGTAAAGTAGCCAGTGCTCCAATCTCACTCCTGTGATGGACTACAAGTAAACTAAATGTGAGATTGTAGTCCATCATGGCAGTGAGCTTAGAGCGCTGGCTACTTTACAACACACACAGGGACCATGGGGAACAAAAGTAGTCACCCTCCAGAAGGAAGGACAGTGTCAGCAGGAATTCAGAGATGATTTGAGTATCTACAGCTCAGTGATACACAAATAAGATACATTTTTAATAGTCATGGTACTTGAACACATTTTTAAATGTTAACTCCTGAGTTTAGTGTCACTTACATGATCTTGTTTGCTATTTGGAAAGCAATAAAGGAAAAGTAATGGTTATTCAAATCTGGGTTTAACCAGTCATTTTTGGCATATACAGTACATTCCTAATGATCCACATAACTAGGGGTATGGCAGTGGGGCGTCCATTGCCTATGTACTCTCACTGGCCCCTTTATTAGGGACACCTCTTCAACTGCTCGTTAACACAAATATCTAATCAGCCAATCACATGGCGGTAACTCAATACGTTTAGGCATGTAGGCATGGTCAAGATGGTCTGCTGAAGTTCAAACCGAGCATCAGAATGAAGAAGTGACTTTGAACATAGCATGGTTCTTGGTGCCAGACGAGCTGGTTTGGGTATGTCAGCAACTGCTAATCTACTGGCATTTTCATACACAACCATCTTTGGGGTTTACAGAGAATGGTCTGAAAAAGAGAAAATATCCAGTGAATGCCAGCTCTCTGGGCAAGAATACCTTGTTGATGCCAGAGGTCAGAGGAGAATGGCCAGACTGGTTCAAGCTGATAGAAATGCAACAGTAACTCAAATAACCACTCGTTGCATCCGAGGTATGCAGACGAGCATCACTGAACACACAACACATTGAACCTTGAAGCAGATGGGCTTCAGCCACAGAAGACCACACCGAGTGCCACTTCTGTCAGCTAAGAACAGGAAACTGAGACTACAGTTTGCAAGGGCTCACCAAAATTGTAAAACAGAAGATTGGAAAAACATTGCCTGGTCTGATGTCTCAATTTCTGTTGTGACATTCGGATGGTTGGGTCAGAATTTGATGTCAACACCCTGAAAGCATGGATCCATCCTGCCTTGTATCAGTGGTTCAGGATGGTGGAGCTTCGCATCATGGATGTGCAGCCGACAAATCTGCTTCAACTGTGTAATGCTTGTGTAATGCTATCATGTCAGTATGGATCAAACTAAGGAATGTTTCCATCACCTTATTGAATCATTGCCACGAAGAATTAAAGCCGTTCTGAAGACAAAAGGGGTCCAACCCAGTACTAGCAAGGTGTACTAATAAAGTGGCTAGTGAGTGTAGAGTGTGCTGAAAGGTGTCCCTCTTTCTCATCTCAAAAGGTTGGGAGGTACATGCTTTGTAACATGTATCCTGACACTGACTGGTTTAACACAAACACTTCATTTTATCTCAGAACTACATGTGTTGTGACAGGTGGATGCTGTGTCACTGTGTAAAGATGCAGATAGTGACAGAAATAGAGCATGGTTCAGCATGCAAAGTGTCTATGAATAGATGTGAGACTGATTGTCAGGTGAGTGTTGCAACAAAAGGGGTTAGCTCCAGGTAACCAGTGCTCCCCTTCAGATTGCTCCAGAAGCAGTGCATAGAAATGTGTGCCCAGACCTTACTGGCCCTACAGACAGGCACTCTAACCAGGCTAACACAATGCTCCAGGAGAGCACCAGGCTACTGGCGGTTAGGGTTGACACAACCTCCAGCTTCTAGGAGGTCCATCTAAGAAACGCATCTTCCAGAGCTCCTGCCAATGAGTCTCTCTGCACACTCATTTATATAAAGTTTTGAAAGAGTACCACACTTATAACTGTGTGTTAAAGGCTTTAAATAAACAAAGGTGGACATTTGGTAAAATGCCTGTTAATGGCAATGCAGGAGGTGCCACAGTTGGGGGTGGGTTTCACTTTTGGTGTATGGACAGCAACCTAGAAAAGTGTTAGACCATATTAAGAAAGCAAAAATGTTGGAGGTCACTCCAGGTGGCGGTTCGATAATTTGTTTGGATCTAATTTGAGGTACTGCTGGCTTATCGTCACTTGCTGCGGCAGCAGACAACCTTTGCGAGCTGGCTGAAACATGATCAGAAAATAGCGGAAATGCAGTCCGTACCGAGTTATTGGTGAAAGTACCAGATTGCACAAGTGTGCGTAAAGAGATTGGGGTCACTGATCCAAAAGGGCAGTAAAACCAATGAAGTGAATGGAGAAATGGTAGGCGCTGAGCATGTTAACTGACAAGCCATGCCATAAGGCCTTGTTCACACCAAGCGTGGAGCAGATCCGGACCAGAGCAGGTGCAGACCGGATCAAAACTGCGTCCAATGTATTCCTATGGTATTTTGACCTCCAGTTCACATCGCAGCGTGCGGATCCAGACCGGATGAAAAAACTGCGGCAAGCGCTATTTTACCTGCTCTGGATCTGGTCTGGAACGCATCTAAAACGCATGCAAGTGCCTGAAAGCCCATGTTAAACTTACATTTTTTTTTTTACCAAAAGGGCCCTAAACGCATCCAAAACGCGGCACAACCCACTGCACTGCGTGTGCAGAAGCCTGACCGGATCTGGTCTGCATTTGGTGTGAACAAGGCCTAAGGGTTCTCACCTTGGGAGGTCTGACTAAGGAGACTAGGATTGTTATGTGAATTGTCAATTGTTAGTACATTTGTCTGCGGAGCACCCACTAACAGATGAGTGTGTGTGTTGTGAGCTTGCCGTGGGAGATAACCCGTCATCTGTTTGTGTTCTCCCTGCAAACGTTGTCCTGTTGAAAGCTGAGTCAGAAAAACAAATGGTTGTCATTATTGTTAATCAGTAAAACAGAAATGCATTGCTGGCCTTAGATAGTCTGGTTACGATTGTGTGACATCCCCCAGCACCAATGGCTGACAGTCGCCATAAAGTAGGTAGTTGCTCCTCTGCATAAGTGGATATAGAAATTCCCAGTGGTACAGTACCATGTACCAGGATAGGCCATGCACTAGTACAGGAGGTTAGTTTGGAAAAGGATGTTTCACATTTTTGGAAACGCAGTGAAAGTGAAATTAAGTCTATTACTTTAACGGATGAAGAAGGTATCCTGCGTGACCCGGAACTTTACATTTGCGTGACATGCTGCCCTTTCATCAATAAAAGACATGCTATTCACCATTTGGAGTGCCGGTGCCCCATTAATGCAAATTGTAAACATTACCATGGCACATTCAGTGCATTGTGGTGTCATTCATTGTACAGTAGAGCACAGTGCACCACAACACATATACTGTGCTGTGTGGCGTGTATGGTGCACTGTGTTTTCAGAAAAGGGTTGTATACATTTTGTCATCTCTTGTGGTGGGTTGAGCTGCCTTAATGCAATGCACGTTAATGCACAGCATTACATGCATCAATGCACATAATATTCAGCCAATGTAATACTTGAACTGCTAGGCAGTTCAGGCCAATAAAGCTTAAATAACCAACCAAATTTAAAAACCAGACAATGTTTCCATCATGGTCAAATCAGGCTCAGTAGCAGCCTGAACAGTCTCCCCAAATATAACCTTTTCTGTGGTGCCCTGAAAGCCCAAATTGAGGGTGTCCAAGCGGACATCTAATCAATAGACAAGATCCTGTCTATACAGAACATCCATGGCTACACGAAAAGCAATC